GCAGCAGGTCCCTCTTAGAGCCAGCTTAGAGGGAATGCTGCTTCCGGGTCATCGTGTGTGACTGGCCACAGGGGGACCCCACTCCCAGGTCAGCATGATTGGCCATGGTCACTGCTTGGTTGCTGGGGGTGAGGAAGTACCCCCCCCCCCAACTCAGGAGACACCAGTTGACCATGGACAGAACCCAAGCATATTGTGTCGCGTTGCTGCTCCGGTGTACAGATGTGAGGCGGTCATGCTATTCTCTAAGGACTGTACAGGGTCAAAAAAACCCCCGTGTTGAGTAGAATATTTGCAGAGTGTGTAGGGTTTGAATAGGAAAGTGACAACGGATGGATGTTTGAAAAGACAAGATTCTGGTGTCTCCACATGTACCTGCACTGGTGAAGTTGAACGTGAGCACAAGGAAGTGAAAAGTGAGTCAATGCTATAGTGAGAGTTGTTTGCATGATGGATTTTCATTTACTGGTGAACTAACTTGACCTCTTCCATTATGTCTTGTGTGCGGGGAGAAACTTTCAAACCATGCTGTGGTGCCAACTAAGTTGAAACAACATGTTTCAGCCAAACACCCGTCTCTTGCCAACTAGGAGGTGTCTGATAAAGCCCTGGAGGCAGGCTTCTTGGTCACAGCTTGTTGCGGAGATAAAAAAAGCCACATACAATCGCAGAGTCTTTAATTTTACCAGCATGTAAAGAGATTTTGAAAGTAATGTTTGGCTCAGATGCAAACAATGAAATCACAAAGGTTCCCCTTTCAGACAGTATGATAAGTCGCCACATGGTTGACATGTCTGCTGATCTTGAAACTGTTGTTTGAAAAAAAAAAAAAAAAAGCAAAAAATTTGCTTTGCAGCTTGATGAGTCTATAGACATTGGTGGTTGTGCTCAGCTCTTGGCTAATGCCAGGTTCATTGTCAGAGTTGGTATAAAAGATTTTTTTTTTTATTTTGCAAAGAGCTACCAGGTAACACAAATGGAGAGGAAGTATTCAGGGTGAGAACAGCCTATCTGAAGGAGAGAAAACTGAAATGGAAAAACTGCCCAAGTGTCTGCCCAGATGGGGTGACTTCTATGATAGGGAAAATGAAAGGGTTTTTAAACAAAATCAAGCAAAAAACCCCCAATGTGCTGATTCCCCCATGCAGGAAACAGTGGGTTAAGTGCTTGTGGTCAAAATATTACTAAAAGAACTCTCCTCAGTGTTGGATGGAGCAATAAAAATAGTGAACTTAATACAAGCACAGCCCTTCTCATCATTACATGAGGATATGGGAGCAGAACATCAGAGTTTGCTTTTGCACAGGGAAGCACACTGGCTTTCCCATGGAAAAGTTCCGTCACATTTGTATCAGCTAAGAGAGAAAGTAAAAATCTTAACTTCAGACCAATCTGCATACGCAGATCTGATTGTTGATGTTGTAGCATGTAGTGTGCACAGCTTGCCTACGTGGGTGACATATTCCAACACCTCAATGATCGGAACAGGAAAATGTAAGGAAGAAACGAAAACCTTCCCTGGCAAATTCTACATATCCAACTAGCAGTGTTTTGACCAATGTAATTTCTCCGCATTTGAAAAGTCTTGAAGAGAAATTTAGTTTTTATTTCCCTTCAGTTCATATCGAAGATTTCAGCTGGATCCATGGTCCTTGGATTTCATCTGCAGTGGAAGGTACTAAGCATATTTCAGTAACGGCTCAAGAGCAACTTACTGTATTAAGGATGGATCACAACTTTAAAATTAAATTTGGTGACATGCTGTTGGACTCATTCTGGTTGACTTTTACAGACAAATATCTCTAGTATTATCAGAACATGGGATCTCAGTGTTGTTGCCATTTTTGACAGCATACCTGTATGAGCCTGACTTGCATCAAAAATAAAAAAAGCATCTGAGACGGATGGAGCAAGTGCTCTGAGTTGTACTATCATTTGTTCCTGCCAGGATAAAACAACTCTGCACATTGAGACACACCCAGATTTCACATTGAAAGTAAGTTTTCTTTAAATATTCAGAAGGTGCTGGGTGAGGGGGATTGTGTGCCGCATAACGTTTTTATTAATGTAAGTGTGCCCTGGGCTGGCAAAGGTTGGGAAACGCTGATCTATTTAATCCAATCCCTGCTCAAAGCAGGACCATCCCCACCTATATCATCCCAGCCAAGTCTTTGTCTACCTGGGTCTTAAAAACTTCTAGGGATAGAGATTCCACAATGTTTCTGGGTAACCTGTTCCAGTGCTTTACAACCCACCTTGTGAGACAGTTTTTCCTTAATATCCAACCTAAATTTCCCTTGCTGCAACTTGAGACCGTTGTTCCTTGCTCGGTCTTGTGCCACCGTTGAGAACAGTCTAGCTCCATCCTCTTTGGAACCACCCTTCAGGTAGCTGAAGGCTGCTTTCCAACCCTGTCTTCTACCATTATTTCTCCCTAGTTTTATTCTATAACATTTTTATTCTCTAGCTCATCTCCGTTTTGGTCCTTCATCTGATTTTTGTGCCGAGAGATGAGAAAGTACTTCCAGGACTCCATTTCCCTAGGAAGATGGGCAATGGACCTGCTTGGCACAAGGAATTAGGAAAATGGATGCATCAGCTCTCTTTGTTAGGTGGCTGAGTTAATAGATGACTTGTGTTCTCACTGCTTAAGTGTGCCAAGGTAATATTTGGGATGTCTCTGTCACAATGAAGGACTAGGAGCTTTTTGAAAAGCAAATTTGCACCTTACAAAAACTGACAGTCATCAGAAAAGTTCTGGAGAAGCATTTCACTCAGTACCAACTCATTCTGACTCAGTTTCCATATTTCTCATATTGTTCTTTTAATGAGTTCTATCCTGTTCCCCCTTGACTATGGGCTTTGCCACATTTGCTTACTTCCCACTCTCTGGGACCACCCTGCCATCACTGCCCCTTCTTCGCTTTACTTTCTTAGGAGCCTCAGCTGTCTTCCAGATCACTTGGCTGTCTTTCATTTCCATTTCACTGTGTTTTTCTACCTGGCTAACTTTTTCCTCTCTCATTGTTGGCCTTCCTCATTGTTGCCCCCTTTCTCCCACCAAGCCACACTCCCGTCTCCTGCAGGGCTGAGCCACACCCCTTTCCTCTAGCCAGGCCAGGTTGGGGCTGGACCGTGCCCCCTCCCCACTGTGGGGCTGGATTGTGGCTGGGTCATGCCCCCTTCCCTCTGCAGGGTCAAATTAAGGCCAGGCCAAGCCCCCTTCCCCCACACAGCTGGACTGGGGCTGGGCTGCCCCACTCTTCGTGGCCAGATGGGGCCCAGCTGCACCTGCCTTGAACACCAGATTGTGTCCGCTGGCTGGATCCCACACATGGAGGGACCAAGCACTGCCCATTTGGCCCGCTGAACAAAAACGTTGAGCCTAGAAACCTAGCTTCTCTACATCATATGAACGGACTGTGGTAGCAGACAGGTTTGATTTCCAAATCTGGAAGACTTGCTGGGAAACAGAAGGGAAAGCTCAAGCAGGAATAGCTGACACCAAATCTGGAGACAGTTTCTTGTCCATGTGAGCATGTCATCCTGTCTCTGTAGCAGCACAAAACTGCCTTAAGAGAAATCAGGTGTCCAGTTTCTTGTTCATTTAGTAAAAATTTGTTTCAAGTTTTGCTCTCAACTACACAAGACATTTCTCCATAAAATATCCAGAAGTGCCAGACCTCCTAAATTCTCCCCCCTCGGTTCCTCATCATTTGTCACAGATTAAGAGCATCTTCCTGCTTCTGTTTCGATCCTGTATTTAAGTGAAGTTTTAAAGCCATCCATCAACCAAGTAAGAAACTAAATTACTGAGATTTGAAATCCAGGGGTACCTAAGATTATTTGGCCCTGCCTGCCTCTGGCAAGCACAAAAATCTTTTTGAACTCTTTCAGACCTTATGTGCGTGGGCTGTCTCCACTATTTGGTAGGCCTGTGCACTTAGTTGGAAATCATCTTCTTGTTCTGGTAAATTTTGACATGTCAGGAGAGTTGGTTCCAAATGGAACATCATGACTGGAGATGCCCCTCTTTCTTCTTCGCTATAACCGCATTTCCCTACAGTGTATACTCCCCAGGGCCTTAGCCACTTTGCCAATCTAAAGCAAGTCACCTCTTCCCTTTCTGCTTCTAGTTACCATCTACAGTTGCTAGGCAGCAGCTGTGCTCCCCACCAGCCAACCACATACTTGCATGAAAATAATCAGGCTTGAATATACAACTGCCCCTAATCACACACAACTAAACAGCTATACAGTAAATACTTTAGTATTAATAGTATCAACTGTCACTGGAACTAATTACTGTCTTAAACCTGGAATTTACTCATAGGGGAAAATCAAGGTAGCTGTTTATTTTTGTATTTAAACAAAAGACAGGTCAGGCGGTAATTCAGCACTTTTCCAACTAGTATTATATATCTAAAAATGCTATAGGTACACCCACAGTTCATAGTCATTAGATACCTGTCTGAACTGGCATGCTCATCCTGCAATTCAGCATGAAAAAATAAATAAGATCTTGTTCATTAAGTTCGCTGTTTCATTAAGTGCTTGATCCTGTACCAATTAAGATTAATGGCAAGGCTTCTACTGATTTTAGTGGTACAGATTTTATCGTCCGTAAAAGGCTGGAGGTAGTATTTTCAAAAGTATCTAAATGACTTATGAACTTAAATGAGAATAAATGTGAGATGCCAAAAAAAAGCCCTGAAGTATCTAGATTCCATCTAAATTGTACCTTAAGTACCTAAGGCCAAGAGTGACTGATACACAGAAAAAAATCTTTCCTTACCCCTCAGGCAACTGAAATTCCATAAGCAGCTACATGTTCATCAGAACACTTAGTTCTATTACTGCACATGCCACAGCCACTGCCATGTTGGCCGAGTTAAGCATTTCCATGTTTAGCTCATACCTAAGCCTGTTTCGAATTCAGTGGGTGTGTCTTCACAAGAAGTTTACTATGCAGTAGACTAATTAGCTGCACAGTAAATGTCTCTGCATCTCTATGTGCACCCCTATTAGGCTGCAGTAAACTAATTTACTCTGCAGCAGTGCACATGTAAATGCAGGAGAGGCTGGCTGAGGCACAAAGATGCTTCAGTGCAGGGGCTGCCTGCCAGCTAGCCCTGCACTAAAGTACCTCTGTGCCCCAGCCAGCCCCTCTGAAACACGCTGAGCCACGGTGAGCAGCCTGAGGCTGACAGGCTGATCACCCCCCCCACTGGACCTCCTGCCAGCCAGGGCTGCTCTACTCCAGCTCAACATGCTGCCATCCCAGGCTCAAGTGCAGACATGCACGTTAATAGGCAGTGTCTTGTCATTAAGGTCATTTTCATTCACTGTCTGGCCCCATGAATCTTGCATCTCTTTCTGCACAGTGGTACAGCTTTCAATGGAGAAATGGTGAGTGCCCCCATCCTGGCCTAATGCCTAGTAGCCCAGTGACCAGGACACTCTTGGGAGGTGAGAGGTATGAGTTTGAACCCCCTCAAGTTAAGGAGAGTCTAGATTTCAGGTATCTCACTTTCAAAGGAAGTCCTCCAACTGTCAGGCATTATGTAAATGGATGGGTGTCCCTGTCACCTCCCTTAGTCATTTTTTCAAAATACAATCAATGCCCACTCCTGCTGGGCTTTGTATTGAACATTTGCCTATGTGTTACGTTGGCTCCAGGCTAGTGTTCTTAGGAGCAGGGGGGCCTAGCTTTCTAATCTTAAGTGGAAGATGAGCTGCTCTGTCTCAGCTAAGATGTTAGTATCTCTAAGCATGTGCAGCAGAACTTTGGGTACCTGGGTATGTTGCCAAAAATGTAGGTACCTACAGGCTGAAGCAGTTTGGCAGGGTTCTGGGGGGATTAGGGTTACCATACTTCCAGGTCCAAAAAAGACTACACCTGTCATGGGGGAGGGAAATGATGGTGGTGGGGCAGTGACATGTCAGTGCCCTGCGCCTGCCCATTCTGTTGCCCCTCACTAACAAGCCACTCCCACCCCTCCCTACAGCCCTGCTGCTGCCCCTCACTCCGGACCCACTGACCTCAGCCCTGCCAGTGCACCTCATGCCCAAAAAGCAGTACCCTGCCCCCCACCGCTTGCTGGTGCACTTCACTCCCAAGCCACAGTCCCCTGGCGCTGCGCACCCTACACACCCAACCCAGAGTCACCCTTCCCATCCCCCATGCCCCTCACTCACGACCTGCAGCCCCCAGTGCCCCCACATCCCTGTTGCCCAAGCATCTCCCACATTGCGCGTGCACCCACGCTCACTTGCTCTCTCTCTCTCTCTCTCTCTCTCTCACACATACTCTCTCCCTGTCTGTCTCTACCTGGATCCCAAAGCCTGCGCAGTAGAGGTGCACTGATACATCGGTCTGATGTCAGATAGTTACTGATATAAAGAAAACTGGCTGTATCAGATATCTGCCTGATGGGGTTGATAATTTGGCCAATAAATGCCTTTGCTGCATGCAGCTGTGGCATAGCACTCGGGCAGTGAGGAGCACAGCCCTGCAGCATGGAAAGCTGCCTCCAGCTAGTAAGTTTGGTGTGGTGCAAGTAGAGGGGGCAGAGAAGGCATGTGCAGGGGGCAAATCAACACCCCCTGCAGTGAGGGAGGGAGGGAGGGAGCATCAGGGGCAGGCAGGACGGAGAGCTGGAGCTGCAGCGCATGGAGAGGGGGAGAGGAGGGGAGATGGCTCCTGCTGCTGCTTGTACCCCGGGAGAGCGCCAGGTGTGGGCATGTGCCCCTGGATCTGAACAGGGCAGGGCAGGCTGCAGCCAGGGCTGTATGGGGCTCTTCTTGGCGAGAGCTGGGCTCAGTGGGCGCTGGAGGTGCTGGGAGGATGCTGCATGCACCCCAAATTTCACCGCCACTCTGCTCCCAGCAGTGCCACCACCAGCGGCCCGGCACAGGCTGGCTCTTCCTGGCGCGTGGGTGGAGGTGGGGTGTTGTGTCAAAGCTGCGGCTGGTGGCGGAGTGGCAGTGAAATTTGGGGTGGATGCAGCATCCTCTCAGTGCCACCAGTGCTGCTTGAAGCCCAGGCCCCACCAAGAAGACCCTGTGCAGCCAACCCTGCCCTGCACAGATCCAGGGGCACCCATACCATGCCCACCCAGGGTGCAAGCAG